CCAATCATTGCCAATCACAAACTTTTATAGAAATGATCTCCAGCATTCCGGCAAAAAAATATTATAGGTTGTTAAATGCGTACAATAATAAAAATATAATATCTAAATTTTATTTCTTTGATTTTACCGTAATTTGCCAAAATGGAAAATAAGTTTATTACGCATCGTTGTTCGTTCTGTCGAATCATGAAACCCATTTTGCATTTCAAAATAATCAAAAAACATGCTTTGGGTATTTACCTTCATAAATGAAAGCAGAAAAAGGAAGTGAAAAACATTTGCAAAAAAAAAAAGAAAACTTTATAGAATCTGAAGAACTCGAACATACGTTGTATGAAAAACTTACAGATATTGATGGAGAAAGCATTATGCATATGGATCTTGAGATAGATGTGGATTTTTTCAAATGAGTAACGAATTAAAAAAAATGGTATCAATGAAATTTTTTGGCAAGTACAGTAACACTTGAGATCGTAAAGTTCTATGAAAAAGAGACGGTTATTTATATGTTCACCATAAAAAGTATCGTAATAAACAAATCCAATCCATTTATTTATCTATTAGTGCAACTGTTACTGTGAGCTTGAGAAGAAAATTAAAAAAATGATGAAAGTTAACAGCGATAGGAATCCATCGTTCATAATTCTGGTAAAATTTTCAGATCATTTAGCCAGATCTAGAACCAAACAATTTTAAATTTGATAAAATGAATCTATGAAATTGTATACATACCTGGTAGAGGTACTAACTATTTTGATATAAACTTTAAATAAGTACAACAAAGTAAATAGTAATGGACAATATTTATTGATAAGATTAGAACAATTATTGCTTTGCGGTATCCAAAATCATTCGAGTTGAATACAGATCAAAAGGCAGTCAAAGCAGTGATGCACCAGCGCACAACAATAACATGGTAATGACTGATATATTCAGCTCATGTATAAAATTGGCGCACAAGACAGATAGGTTAATGAATTAATGGTTTAGGTTAGTATGAGCTACCATTCACCAGGGCATACTGCATTGTAATAAAAGGACGAAGCAACTTGTGAGCAAATTCTTTCGTATTTGACCCTTTTTCCTTAGTATAATCCTATATTCTAAAAGATTTATATAAATTGGATAACTTTTTATTAATATATTTGTGCATATTACGATTGTGCGAAGAAATTTTTTAAATTATTCTCCTATTCATGATACGCAAATATGCATTAATAAAAAGTTATTTGATTTAACTAAAACCTACAAAATATACGTATTTGATCAGCTTAACATCTTACTTAATGCATAAATAACAATTTGTATAATAAAATTTCGATTTTACTATGTAGCAACTATTAATGATCTGAAAATAAAACAATAGTCTTGAAGTATCGCACACTTATTATGCATATCCGACATAACTATTAGGTCTAACTTGTTACTTCTATCCAATATACTGTCTAATCGCTGACTTAATATTAACCTAAACAATGTAGAAATCTCAATTTTTGGGTCACATCTAGAGATACTGATAAATTAATTTTAACAATTTCACCAATTCAACATTAATTCAACAGTAGTGGTGAAATTATTAAACTAACATACAATTGGTTGTAAATTATTTAGATACGTATTTGATAAGTAATTAATTAAATAATTGATCAGCTATAGCTGGTTATTTAGCCGCGGCTAGCCGGTAATAACCGACCGATAACCGACCGTAACCGACCAATCCCATCCCTACTTCTACTAGGTAATCGAATAATTATCAAATGCAGTCATTGATTCTAGATTCATTGGTAGGTCGTTTAAAATTTTCGAACAACAAGGGTCATAGGGGACTTCGTATAATTGGCTAGTGTTTTATTGATTTATCCGTGATTACCCATGATAATTAACCAATCAAATTACAAATTTTTTAACCAAAATTAATCGTTTTTAATATTATAAGAAACAAAAAAACATATTGAAAGAAGCTTATAAATTAGTAACACACGCACAAAGAATTTATTTTATATTTCTAAAGGATAGGTGATGTATACAACATGAAGTAAAAATAATATTATATTAATAAACCCGAATCTATTATACAATCTACGATTCATAAACCCAACTAATTTTTTTTATATTAACAGACCAAAACACACATAGGAACTAAATAAACTAAATCACTATTAAAAGCTTGGTTGTGGAAGCAATAGAAGCTGGCGATTGGCAAAGACGTAGGCTTGAGTAACCTGTGACTGAGAAGACGTAATTGTTGCCGGTATATCAACGGAAGCAATATCCATGTGATCATGATTCAACTCCTCAAAGAAGACTTCCCAAAGTCTTACTTCTTTCGGTGATTTGCCATCTGCCGACGTAGTAGACTTTGATGCTGGAGCATCTGGAGAAAACCCAATGAGAGGTGGAATGAGTGACAGCGTTTTCTCCTTACTTACAACTGAAAACAAAAACGTAATAAGTAAAAATATGCATATAAAATGTATATAAATAATCATGCTTTTACTCACGTTCAGAATCGATCGCCCTCTTTTTACTTGTGGAAGTGTCAAGAGCATCAACTTCCTTTCCCTGCTTTGTTCCAGCAACAGACACAAATGACACAACCTCCAAATCATCACCCGCAACGTCGGCCTTTATTAAAAAAAAATTTTGATTAACAACATAATTTCTTGACCCGATAAACAATTTCTTCGACAAAATATTATTTCAATTGTAAAGAATAGCTCGCCTCTTTATTTTTCAGAAGCCCTTTAGCAACATCTTTAATCTCTCTCGGAGTACGGCGATGTTCATTTATAGCACCTAAGGCGCTATAAAATACACCGCGTACGGCTTGTCTCGTCGTATGTTCATCGATCCAAGACAAGTAGCCATCATCGGACCATTCGCCGGATGGCTTATCTTCAAAATATTTATTGAATGGATTGCTCCATTCACTAAAAATACCGATAGATTGTATGTCTGCAAAAAAGAAAGTTTCAAATTTAACTCAATCGAATTTCATACAAAAACTCGACAATTTCTAACATACCAACAGATTGTTTGATGTTTCCATAACGACAATTACTCAGCAAAATATAATGCAGGAAGTGAGCTTGTGCTTTGTAATTCAAATTTAACGCGTAAATTCACGTCGATAAACGTGATCAAAATGTGTGCAAGTTCGTGGGATTTATCGTCAGCCACATTTCATATAATTATCCGCAAAATTTTGATACTCCTGCATGTAGGGTCTTCCTCAGCATCTCCAGAAAAAATTTACTATCACGTAATATCTGACAAAATTCTTTAATTTTGTTTATGTTAGGGTTAGAATTCAGGAGTTCTAATTAATGTGCAGAAGGTGGTAAAAGCGATTTTTATAATTAGTGGACGTTTGTCTGCTGATCGTGTAATGTTACACTAAATCGTGGTTCATTACTGTATTGGCTTTAACCTAACCCCTTATTATGGACGCACCTGGCTTAAACGAACTCCTATTTACCCTGATTTGTAGTACTAGAATAAAACACGTACGTACATCATACAAGTTTACGCGTTATTTTTTTCTTACTCATCTATACTGCTTCGTTTAAACACGCTACAAGTATCTCATAACATTACTAGATAAAAAGTGAGTATGGTTAGAAGTTTTTTTTTTTATCAGGCTTTTGTGCACTTAAAACCTTAAAACTCACGTTCGGGCTGTCACATAATCACCTAGAGGTACACAAGTTACTATATTGGATGCACGTTTGTTGAACGTGCGGATTTTTGAGATTACAATTGGCAAAATGTGATAGCAGTGAAGGCTCCTGCATTTGGCCGTCTTATATTCTTTGAAGACTATTAATATGACGGTTACTAATATGACGGTGTTGTGTATATCTCTCTGTTGAATTTTCTAGTTTGCAAATTAAAAAATAATGATCGCAAATTAGTAATAATTCTTATTTTTGTGCATTTAGATCCTAGTAAATAAGATAATCTTCAAAAATTGCGGGTGGAAATATTATGGTTTTAGGGTTTAAGTAATACAGTATGTAAATTATTAGATTGATTATTGTTTATATAGAATATAAATTTATTTCGAATTGCTGAAAATATTAATACTTTATTATAAAAGGAAGTGTGTTGGAGCTTACGTTCAGGCTGTCGTGCATCACCACCAAAAAGTACACACAAGTTACTGAATTGGAAATATTAACGATTATGTGAAAATCATATTCGCGCACCTGTGAATCTGGTTTTAGGGTTTAAATATTACGGTATGTGAAATTATGTGGATTATTTAGTGTCGTGCTGAAGCTGGTTATTAGTAAACCCGATTTAAAAATATAAGAACTGCAAAATCCACCTATACTCTTTTATTACAACCCTAAATTTTAATTTTAAAATATTTAAAATTCCAGCATCAGTCACAACAGTTAGTATTACATAGATACTTAAAATATTAATACCATATTTAGTATTCCAGATATATACGATACGTCCTGATATTATCGTAAGTATATTTTCTTAGGCATTATAAATGTATGGATAGCTATGTATCCTTAAATTAATTTAAGGATCTTGGTGGATTGAATAATTAAAGGTTTCCATAGGATATAGTAATTCTATTAGGCGACTTAATTGGTGGTGTGAAATTAAGAAGAGCACCAGAGCTTTCTATTTTTGATGATCATACAAATCATGTTGTTTGTCTAGTTTCATTATTAACCTACGCGCATTTTGTGCTACGGCATAGATGTGATTATTTCATATTTTTTTTTTTATTATCGTTATAATAATATACAAAGTGTGGCACGTAGTGACACGTGCGGAGCTAGTATGGATCATATTTCTATGGACATAATGAAATTTTTAAATGTCTTTGTAGATTGAGTAGAATTGTGGATCTTAGGATCTTACCTAATAACCTATAATTCTGATGATATAAAATCTTGCAAGATCTTAAGGATTTTAGATGATTTTTGCCAGGCAACTGTACTCTTTGTGATAATTTTGGATCTTTCGCGTGTTACATCGAGAGGTATCTACAACTTGTTGAATTAGCTGTGCATTTTCTCCCGTGCAGAATCAATCGTATTATTGGAAAACGCAAAAGGTATGTGGGCATCTGCGTATAACCGTCAATGAGTCTGGAGGTGAAATGAGTTATGTGCCTTTCTTTATAAAAATGCAAATTAATATTTCTATTTATTTCATATTTAGACGAGTAAAAACGAGATTGTACGAAAATCCGGTTTGAATGCATTTTTGGTTAAATCGCAAAAGATAAGTTCTGGATTTAGGGCTTAATAATATAGTACTTAGAATTACGTGGTTTAATCCTTTTTTATTGAGTATCTATTTTCGAATGAATGGAAATTCAATACTATACTTAGTACTATTGACTCTCACAAGAAACAAGTGTATAGATCGGTTGGAATTTGTTAGAATTCAAATCGGAAATTGAAACCTTAAAATATGGTTTGTATGGTTATGCAGGTTGATTATAAAAAAATGAGAGTAAAAATTTGACATCACATTATAAGGCCGCAAAAGGTAATTTTTCATTTTACATTACACACCGATCCGAAATTTCAAAATTATTTTATTTCATTTTTATTTTAATTCTTATTTTATTTTACAATCACAAATTAGTTTAAAACATTTGTAATAATAATATATTTATCTTAATAGGTTTAACAGATCTAAATCAAAAATCATACATATTTAATCGAACTACTAAGTATGTCATAAATTTGGAAGAAAGTCTAATATCGGAACATTGCGGAATTGTAGATAGTTAAAAAACACAAAATACGTTACGTATGAGCTGGACATCAGGAATTTTTGGAGGTATTGTAATTTACTTGTCAAGTGATTGATAAGTTTAGGTTTAATTCATTTTTCTGTTATTAGATCGATAAAAAAAAGATCCTCTCGACCGACCAGATCTTCGAAAAGCTAGGTAATACAAAACGAAAAATCAACTTTGTGCGACATAACCTTAAATAGTTTAAAATCCCGCGGGTATAAAGTTTAAGATCTCGAATATTTAAGATCCTAACGATTCAAAATTTTGAGGGACTTTTAATATAAAGGTGAGTATGTTGGGAGGGTTTTTATCA